GTGTGCGCGTGCGCGCGCGCGCGCGCACCTTAGCTCATATAGCCCAAGGCTAGCCTTAAACCTAATAAGCACCCGAGGATGACCTGGAACTCCTGTGTCTCTTGTCTCCATTCCCAAGTGCTGGGAGTACAGGCATATGCCGCTACACCTAGTTAGTGCAATGCTCGTGATAAAACTCAGGGCCCTGGAAACAACCTTCCTCAAGACCCAGTAATACCACTTTTGGGTATATATCCTAAGGATGTTCAATCGTGCCACAAGGACATGTGCTCATCTATGTTCATAGCAGCTTTGTTTGTCATACCCAGAACCTGGAAACAACCTAAATGCCCCTCGACCAAAGAATGGATAAGGAAAAATAATGACAGCTTGAATTTTGCAGGAAAATGGATGGAGCTAGAAAACATTATTTTGAGTGAGGTAACCCAGACACAGAAAGACAATTATCACTTGTACTCACTCATAGGTGGTTTTTGGTTCATAAAGCAAAGAAAGCCAGCCTACAAACCACAATCCCAGAGAATTTAGACAGCAATGAGGACACTAAGAGAGACTTACATAGATCTAATCTACATGGGAAGTAGAAAAAGACAAGAGCTCCTAAGTAAATTGGGAGCATGGAGGATCTTAGGGGAGGGTTGAAGGTGGGCGGGGAGAGGCAGGGAGGGGAGCAGAGAAAAGTGTAGAGTCAATAAAAAACAATAAAAAAGTAAAACAAACAAAAAAACCTCAGGACCCTGGGTGTGCTGGGCAGGTACTGTACTGACTGAGTTATAACCTCAACCTTGAACTTTTCTCTTTGAGCTTGGACTGCACAATCACATGGGGATGGTCCTGCATCACCCACTTCCCAGGCGCACTGTGGGGACCAGATAGATGCTCTCGGAAGGTGGGGTCTCCACTGAAAACCATTGTTCAAACGTAAGGTGACTTGGATTGAGTTTCAGAACAGCCAGGGCTACACAGAGAAACTCTGTCTCAAAAAACTAGTAAAATAAACTAAAACAAAAGATGTAAGAAAAACATTTCCAAATTCAAGATTAATTAGAGCAAGGAAAAATTCTGTGCTTTCATTAAAGTACTCCCCCTCCCTCGCCCCGACTGAATTTAAATGCACCATGAAAACCGATAATTAACCTTTGGTAAATATTTTCCTTCTAATTGTTTTCTCATGTGTCATCTTTCATAGTCTAATTACAAAGTCATATCACTGCCCTCTTGCCATCTGCCAACCGGTTATCTAGAACATTAAACTGAGAGAACATTGATCATGTGGGCATGGAGTTCAATCTGTGCAAAATCATCAATTATCCGAGCAGTCTTCCCAGCTAAGGCCAGCTCCTGTTTTGAAAAGTTCAGAACATCCCAGTGCTATTGAAAAGATGTTTATAAAAGGCAATTTTGCAACAAAAAAGGGCAAGATCAAAAGAATTGCCCTGCACTTTACAGAGCCCCAGAAAGCCCGAGCTGTAGACAGTGCACGTGGTTATCTGCTCAGAGACCACGTAAAGGTGAGTCACCCCCCAAAAGAAGAGGCCAGTAGGAGGGTAAAGGATGTAACGTGGAGGTGACCATGACCAGAGTGTGTTTTATATACGTGTGAAGCGGTGGTTCTGAAACAGACTAGTTTGTATAATTAGCATACACCAGTAAAAAACCAGTGGGTTCAGGCTGGAAAGATGGTTCAGTGGGCAAAGCACTTAATCAGTAAACCTGGTGACAAGTTTTTAAAACCCAACTCAGGGCTGGAGATGCATCAGCAGTTGAGAACACTGACCAGTGTTTCAGAGCACCTGCAATGGGTGTTGTGTCTCCAGACACACACCTTTAATCCCAGCCTCCCCCCCCCCCCACAGAGGCAGGTGGGTCTCTGAGTTCAAGGCCAGCCCTCTTCTGGATTTATGAGCACAGGCACACAGATATATAGGCAAACAAAACATCCGAACCCGTATGTTTGTAAGAACATATTGTATACCCTCTCCCCTAGCGTGTGGTTAATTTACCTTAAGAACAGACTCAGTGACTCCCCAGGAGAAGTCACAGGGAAACTGCCCCCGCATGTCTGGCGTGGATTCTTTCAAAGGGAAACCGTTGTCTCGTATGATTTGTCTGTAGTAGTGCGCCGAGGACTTGGGCCTCCTTTCTTTCTGCTCACTATTAAAGTCCACATAAAACAGCCCTCGGCGAGTAGTGTAGGCGTCCTGCCATTCAAAGCCATCCAGGAGGGACCAGGCCGTGTAGCCAAACACTCGAATGTCATCAAACTTCAGGGCTGCACGGAGAAAAGGAAGAGCAGGGGTCTTCAGAGGGCTAAGCATTCTAGTTCATGTGTACAGCTTCATGAACAACATGCCAAGGCATGGCTTGTTACACACTTGTCCTAATAGCAGGCCTTTTAAATCAAACAAAAAAATTGTTTGTTTGGAGCCAGCAAAATGGCTACGTCAGTAAAGGGATATAATACAAAGCTTGACGACTTAAGTCAGCTGTGTGGTGGAAGGAGAGAACTGAGTCCTGAAGGTTGTCCTCTGATCTCCACACGGACACCACACACAAAATAAACACTCTACCTTCCCTACACAGATGAGTGACAGTGGAAGGACCTCATTAAGAACATTTCTGATAGCTGAAAAAAATTTTAAGCCGAGCGGCAGGAGGCAGGGGCAGGCGGATCTCTGTGAGTTCGAGGCCAACCCAGGCAACAAGAGCTAGTTCCAGGACAGGCTCCAAAGCTACAGAGAAATCCTGTGTCGAAAAAATACAAAAAGGCCGGGTGGTGGTGGCGCACGCCTTTAATCCTAGCACTCGGGAGGCAGAGGCAGGCGGATCTCTGTGAGTTCGAGACCAGCCTGGTCTACAAGAGCTAGTTCCAGGACAGGCTCCAAAACCACAGAGAAACCCTGTCTCGAAAAACCAAAAAAAAAAAAAAGAAAAAATACAAAAAGATTTAATCATGTAGTTTAGCAGGGTATGATGGTACATGCCTTTAATCTCAATGCTCAGGAAGCAGAAATCGGCAAGATCTCAGAGTTCAAGGTTAACTTGGCCTACATATTGAATTCCAGGTCAGCAAGAGCTACATAGTAAAACTCTGTCTCAAATTAAAAAAAAATAAAAAAAAATTAAAAAAAAAGAGGAGGAAATAGTGTAGCGCCCTGGTCTGCCCTTATTCCTGGGGCGCATCTCGAGGACAATTTCTGGTCAACATGACCTAGCATTCAGCCCTTATTCCTGGGGTGCATACAGTTTCTAGTCAGAGACTAGCATTCTCTTAGTTCCTGTATTTCCCCTGCCCCACCTGGTGATTAGCTAAGGGCATTCATTCCATTGTTGATATGGTAATTTCCCACCTGCCTTTGGGGGGGGGGGCTGGTGCTGCAGTTAGTTAGATTAGGACTTTCCCCAATCTGAATATAAGGGCTTTCCCCAGTCTGAAGAAACGGCATTCGCTTGATCTCCAATCGAATGACCCCGACCTCTTTGTGTGTTCTCCAGGTCCTTGCCCGACTCGCATTCGGTACAGTGGCGCGCGAGCTCTACCGAGGGTGTAACACCAAAACCGGGTGTTACTAAATAGGAAATATTTAGTGTGCAGATCTGTGTCTTGGGCCACGGGACATGGCAGTTTCATAGCCTTTTGGGATGTGATGTTTACTAGTGACCTAGAGTTCCTCATTCTGAGTTCGGGCGGGTTCCTGTTTGTGCCCCACTGTCCAGTCTGAGAAACCGTCCTTCAGGGACTGAACACCAGCTCTCAGAATGAACAGAGCAGCTGCAGGCGGAGGCATGGAAGGCAGAGAAGTGGGGTGAGAAGTGGCTGGGCTGAAGGGCAGCAGGCCCAAGGCCAGGTCCTGCTGTGTCTCTGACAGGGAGCTACTGGGCAAAGCTTCAAATGGCAGTTTCCTATCTGTAAACAGAAATTACTGGAGATCATCTCTAAGGATGTTTCCAGCTTTAAAACTCTGATTGGCTAAAAATGAGCTATGGAAACTTTGTTCCCAGCACTCTGCGAGTTCAAGGTCAGCCTGGTCTAAAATAAAACTGAAATTTGCCCCGAAACATTTTTAGAGTTTTTATTATTTGTGTTATATTCCATGTGCAGGAGTGTTTTGCCTGCCTGTGTATCTGTGAACTACCTATGTGTCTGTACCCATGGAGGCCAGAAGAGGGCATCAAACCCCCTGGAACTGGAGTTAGAAACAGTTGTGAGCTGCCACATGGGTGCTGGGAAACCAGGTCCTCTGTAAGAGCAGCCTCTGAGCCATCTCACCTTCCTTCCTTCCTTCCTTCCTTTCAGTTTTTCGAGACAGGGTGTTTCTGTGTATCATTGGCTGTCCTGGAACTTGCTCTGTAGATCAGGCTGGCCTCGAACTCACAAGATCTGTCAGTCTCTGTTCCCAGAGTGCTGGGATTAAAGGCATGCGCCACCGCCGCCACCACCCCCTGACTGAATCACTTTAAAACAAAACAAAACAGAACAAACCCCTTTTGTTTCTCTCACCGAAATACCTCATTTCTGCATGGGGCCTTGCCATCAACATTGCTTTTCTAAAAGGTAGAAAATTCTTTTTTGAAAGAAAAGTAGAAAACCATGACAAAAGATCCCCAAAAGACAAATGTGTTTCAACAGCCGCACTCTGGTCCCACTGTGGTGTGGTGAGGAAGGGTAGAATAGACACCTTTTTGCACTTGACCTGTAGGTAGTGTCCTGTGAAGGCCACCATGTTTATATGGCTCAGGGCTGCTTGGTGTGGCTGTGTTTCATGCTGTCCCTTTTTGCAGTGAGACCAGGAGAGGAATTTTTTTATTTTTTTAATTTAGTTTTATTTTTAATTTTATTTTTTGGACAGGCTTTCTCTCTGTAACAGTCCTGGCTGTCCTTGAACTCACTCTATAGACCAGGCTGGCCTCAAACTCACAGAGGTCCACTTTGCTGGGACTAAAGGCATGTGCCACTCCCCCTTCTCTCTCTTTAAAGATCTATTTATTGGGGCTGGAGAGATGGCTCAGAGGTTAAGAGCATTGCCTGCTCTTCCAAAGGTCCTGAGTTCAATTCCCACATGGTGGCTCACAACCATCTGTAATGAGGTCTGGTGCCGTCTTCTGGCCTGCAGGCATACACTCAGACAGAATATTGTATACATAATAAATAAATTAATATTTTTAAAAAAGATCTATTTATTTATTTTATGTATGAGTGCTTATCGCAAGTACTCCTTTATGCCAGAAGAGGGCATCAGATCCCACTATAGATGGTTGTAAACTACCATACCATATGGTTGCTGGGAATTGAACCTCTGGAAGAGCAGCCAGTGCTCTTAACCACTGAGCCATCTCTCCAGCCCCAGGACTTGCACGTTCTGAAAACCCTTCCTGAAGCCTCTTTTCCTGCAGGAGCTGGGATTTCTCTCCGCATTTAGTACTTGTTTAAGTTATACTTTATGTATTGTGGTGGAAGACGTGTGTGTGTGTGTGTGTGTGTGTGTGTGTGTGTGTGTGTGTGTGTGTGTGTGTGTGTGTAGTACGTGTGGATGGATGCATGCATGTGTGAAGACAGCTTGTGGAATGCAGGTGAGCCCAGGGTTGAACTCGGGGATCTGATTGGTGGGGCGATTGCCGTTACTGGCTGAGCCATCTCACCAGTCCTGCCTGCACCTAGCTGTCTACGTGGCTGCCGGGGTCAAACTCAGGTCCTCTTGCTTGCATAGCAAGAACTTTACCCACTCCTTCGCTCCAATACTTAGAACTTCTAAAAAGCGCTGTCCAGCTGGAGAAAGAGCCACGGGAATTATATTCAGGTGGGATGAAACCTAGCTCTGATGGAGATACAGCCTGAGCTGTCTTTGGCCTCATCTTTTCCTTTGGCCTGTAGGTGTCGCTGCCTGAGTAGGGAACTAGGTGACATTTAGGTAGGAAGAAATCTCCAAGAGAGTAGGAAAGGCTCAGCTTTGTTTGTAGAACTTTCATTGTTCATTCAGGTCAAGATAAAAGGACCTGATTTCACTACCCACAGTGACGTCGTATGCCTTTAATCCCAGCACTTGGGAGGCAGAGGCAGGTGAATCTCTGTGTGTTCGAGGCCAGCCTGGTCTAGAAGAGCTAGTTCTAAGACAGCTAGGACTGTTACACACACAGAGAAACCCTGTCACAAATTTTGGTCAATATTGAACAATAGAAAACCAACATCAATAATGACATATCCGTGGTAACCTTAAACAAAAACCCCTAGCTCAGCAGTTATAGATGCTTGCAGCCCTTCCTGAGGGCCTGCATCTGTTCTATAACTCCAGCTCCATGCCATCTGACTCCCTCCTCTGGCCTCCAGGAGCTCCTGTACACATGTGGCATACACTCACACAAGCAAACTTATATACACATAAACTTATTACAAACTGAGCCAAAGTGCAACCAACCTTGAAGAACCTGGTTGAGGAAATTCTTCATCATGTAGATGGCCGTGGTGTCCTCCGTCTTTATATAACTATCTGTGAACCAGCCATTCTCCGAAATCAAGATCCGAGGGTTGTCATATTCTAGCTTAATCCAGTTCAGCACCTGTCTTAAGTTGAGTGACACGTTTTGTCCCATTTTCACTGCGTTCACCATGTTCAAGGGCCTGAAATTGTTAGGCCCGAAAGAAAAGGCAAAGAAGTCGGCCGTGCCCCTCACCTCCTCCTTCTCTGCCTCAGAGAGCACGGGCATGCCGACCATCGTCCTCATGTACTCAGGGTAGTCGCCGTTCCCGTGGATGGGGTTGGCGAACCATCCCAGCACGGAAGCCATGGAGTGCTGGCAGTTGAGTACATCCTCCATGTTCTCTGTTCGGTTTGGTTCCATCCAGTGGGACCCCAAGGTGATGGACAGCCAGCCCTTCTGACGGGGGCGGAAGTCTTTGTGGTAGCTGTGCCATGCCTTCGCATGAGCCTGGTGGGAAAGAAAACATCGTCGGGTTTCACGGGGGCTGTGACACAGCAAATCCTGAACGGTTATTAACACGTGTGCATGTGTTTTCTTGCACACGCCAAGGTAAACATGCCCAGGTCAGAGAGGACAACCTTAGGGAGCTGGTTTTCTCCTTCCACGGTGCCGGTCTTGGAGAACAAAGTCAAGCCATGAGGCTTGGCGGCACGCTTATTTACCCGCTGAGCCGTTTGGACAGCCCCAACACCCAGCTTTTCCATGAGCTCTGGAAGTTAAATTTAGGTACTCGTGCTTGTGTGCCAAGCAGCTTGCTAACTGAGATATCTCCTCAGCCCTCCATTTGGTCCTGCTGTAGAAGTCCAGGACAGGGCAGGCTGCATAGTCTGTAAATGAGTAACAATAGAGTTCACGAAGGGATGGTGCGAGGGTTGAATTAACACTGTACACAACTTTAGAACCGCCAGACAGTGGTGGCGCACACCTTTAATCCCAGCACTCGAGAGGCAGGTGGATTTCTGTGAGTTCGAGGCCAGCCTGGTGTATAAAAGCTAGTTCCAGGACAGGCTCCAAAGCTACAGAGAAACCTTGTCTCGAAAAACAAAACAACAACAATAAAAAGCTAATTGAAACTATTTTCTGGAGAACTTTCTAGAGGAAGCCATTTTGAGACATCACCTCAGCAATAGGTCCTTACTCACCACCCTGCCCCCTTCCTCTCTGTGTCTTCTTTCTTTTTTTCTTCCATTTTTAAAGGTTTTATTTATTTATTATGTATATAATGTTTTTTATTTATATTTATTTTTATATTATATATATATTATGTATACAGCCTGCACATCAGAAGAGGGCCCCAGATCTCATTACAGATGGTTGTGAGCCACCATGTGGTTACTGGGAATTGAACTCAGGACCTCTGGGAGACCAGCCAGTGCTCTTAACCTTTAAGCCATGTCTCCAGTCCTCTCTTTGAATTTTCATTGTAAGATCCTAAAATAATTTAGAACTTAAATGTTCAACTCACCCTGATTTCCTTTCTTCTGAGACTAGAATGCACCATGTACCCCAGGCTAACGTCCAAAACACAATTCTCATATTTCAACCTATAAATACTGGGGTTATTTATAGTTGTGAACTGCCATATGCAACTCCAGGGCTTAGTTTAATTTTTGTTTATTCATTTATTTATTTTTGAGAAAGAACACAAATGATGTTGGGTGGGGGAGGGACCTGGGAGGAGTTGGGAGGTGGGAAAGAATATTAAAATATATTGTGTGAAACTATCAAAGAATGGTCTGAAGCCCCACCTTCCTGAGCGAGTTGGAGGCTAGAATCTCTGTGGAAAGTTCTGAGGACTGCTTTCTTTATGGCTGTGAATGGTAGGCTCCAGAGGAGATGTCCTACCCTGATTGTGGTCACTTAGTCTTTCGACAATTCTGTACTTTCATACTTAGAACACACAGCAATTGCCAATTTCCTTCAGAGTTGTGCACCCCAGATGTGAACACTAAGGAGAACACTGCACAAGTGTGAGAGGTGGGCCTTAGGTAGCCACCTCACTCACAGGACTGCCACCAACACTGCAGGGAGAATGGGACGCAATCAAGATCAACCCATGAACATGCTCCAAACAGGAATTTGCCAGAGTCAAGTGTGGGGGTTCACACCTGCAATCCCAGCACTTGGGAGGTAGAGGCAGGAGAATCAGCAGTTCAAGGTTTGCCTGGGCTATACGTATGAAGGGGAGAACCAGCTCTTGAAAGGTATTTTCTGATCTTATATGTGTGTTGTAGCATTCACACCCCTTACATACACACACCTCTCTCCCAGTAAATAAAAAAAAATGATTTAAAGAGAAACTAACAGAAATTAACCAGCCTAGCAGGGAAGGACAGGGAAGTGAGTCTCTTTAAAAATAACCCTCTATTAACTAGGTGATTATAGGAAAGGTGCCTTAAATTGTGATAAAATCTTGGGTACATCAGCATTAAAATAGGAACCAGGGCAGCTTAGAAGGCAATAGTTTGCACTTTTGCCACGTGTTTGCAACCTGGGTTTCTGGTACACGCGTTGTCACAGCCCAAGGTGACCTTCGTGCTTCACCCTGGGTCTTGCTCCCTCTCTGCTGTTTGCAGAAGCTATCTAGGTGTCTCGGGTTATCTTTGCTCTGACTGAAGGCAAAGACGCGCGTCTCACTAGACAAAATGGGGGAGGCTCTCCAAGCAGTTCTTATGGTATGACTTGACTGTTTGTCAAATAACAGGAAAAATTTTGCCCCGAGATGGTCCATTTGCCCCAATCTTGCAGATGTTCAGATGGAGGGTACACAGGATCTGTCGCACGACACAAAAGGGCCTGCAGCCAGGACCCTTGCACAACCTCCTGTGGTTTTCCAAGGCTGCCTTCTATCTTGTCCAAGGCCATCTACCTTTGGAATGATTGATCAAGAGCATGTCAACCTTTGTTCTTTAGACTCAGTAGCTTGACAGGAACCTAACTGCCTTTTGTGTTAGAGCCAGCTCTTGGGACTCAGTACCCTTGAGAGATAGTAGGAATCCCAAAATCTCATTCATATTCAGGTCCCTCCCACATCCAACAGGCTGATCTTTTTGATTTCTTCAGAATTCTAGGTTGATAAATTCAATGGGTGGGTAGAAAGAAATAAGATAATAAACCAGAGTGAGTTAAGGGCCGGAATGCCATGGAGGGACACTGGAGGGAAGGATGACTTGAAGGTAGATGGTGAACCTTGCCTTCGTTTGAGGGCATTAGGGGACTCCTGGTCCTTTGAAAAGTTATTCCACCTGTTGGGGGGAGTGGAATGAAGGAGATGGAGAATGGATGGGTATGATCAAGATAGTTTGTTGAAACCGAAGAAATAAAAGATACTCAAGTTTCCACGGACAGGCGAGATTGTGCATGCCTTTAATCCCAGATCTTGGGAAGCAGAGACAGATGGATATTTGTGGGTTCAAGGCCAGCCTGGTCTGTGTAGAGAGTTCCAGGTGAGCCAGGCCTACATAGTGAAGCCCTATCTCAATAATAATAATAATAATAATAATAATAATAATAATAATAATAATAATAATAATAATGTTTTAAAAAGAAAAAATAGAAAGTCCATTTTCCAAATCTCTCAGATTTCAGTCACATATTGGTTGAAATACCTTCATGTGGTTTGTAAATTTATTGATTGTGAAAACTATTGAGTAGAGAACAAACTTAAAACTTAAATTTTACTTTAAAATATCACAGTCAGTACGTGTGGGGGCACACACCTATAATCTCAGCACTCTGGAGGCTTGAGGCAGGAGGATGAATGTAAATTTGAGGCCAGTTTTGGCTGCATAGTGAGTCAGGCCTGGCCTGGCTATGTAGAGAAATTCTAGCTCAAGAAACTAAGAAGCAAACAGAAAAATAAATGTCTCTGTAACATAACGAAATGTTTTCATGTTTTTGTGAAAACATTTAGAAGATATTTTAATGCCACCTTTTAGAAGGCATTTCCCAGCTAACTTCAGTTTAAACATTTTCCGTGTTGTAGTCTCGATAATTATCTGAACACTGTGAAAGTTCCGGATTTGAGGACATAGTACTTGCTTTGTTGGCTCTGTCTTTTGATAGACATCAGCTTGTTTTTTTTTTTGTTTTGTTTTGTTTTTTTTTATACCTGTTGTAAGTAAGGCTGTAGTAACTGACTTTGGGAATGCAATTTTTAATTTATTTGGATTCTTTCCTGTCAGTAACAGGAATAGATTGACTTTTTTTGTTTGTTTGTTTTGAAACAGGGTTTCTCTGTGAAGCCAGGAACTGTCCAGGAACTCACTCTGTAGACCAAACTGACTTCAGACTCACAGAGATCCGCCTGCCTCTGCCTCCCAAGTGCTGGGATTAAAGATGTGAGCCACCAATGACCAGCTGACCATTTTTAGTATAAAAATTATGTTTATTGGAACTAGAGCGATGGCTCAGAGGTTATGATCACTGGCTGCTTTTCCAAAGGACTCAGGCTAATTGCCAGTTCTCAGCCATGTATAACAACAGTTCTAGGGGATCTGATGCCTTTTTCTGGCACCAGACAGGCAAGTGACATTTATTTATTTGTGTGTGTGTGCACAGGTGCCTTAAGTGTGTGCGTGCACAATCACATGGGTCAGAAGACAACTTGCAGCTGCCCATGCTCTCTTTCCACCAAGTGGGTCCTGGGGATTGAACTCAGGTCATCAGGCTTGGCTGCAGATGTCTTTACTCACTGAGCCATCTTACCAGCCCTGGACAGCCTAATTCTCAGAACTGCTTCAAATATTTTGCCTCTGGTACGCGTGTTGTCTGATCATCTGCCGCAGACTTGGACAGCTTTGTCTGCAGGGGAATTGTCCTTGAGCACGTGATCATGTCCTCCACCTACATCCTCTCGTTGGTGAAATGACCCTGGTTCTGAACGCAAGAAATCTGGGTTCTGCTTCTGGCTCTGCTGTTACTGGGGTTTATGAACTTGCCAAGTCATGTCCCTCTCTGAGTCCTTAGTGGCTTGTTAGAGTGAGCTGAACCCCGCCCCCCCCCAGGACTGTGGCAGAGCAGAGGGCTGTAGAGGTCCCGCAGCTGGTGGAAGCCTGGCCTAGAATGCTGGAAACCCTCACTTCCATCATCAGCAGGCACCCACTGGTGTGGTGGCACATCTATAATCCCAGCAGCACTCAGGAGTCAGGAGGATCAGAAACTCAAATCAACCTTGACCACAATGGAGTTCCAGGCTAGGTTGTGCTGAATGAGAGACCCTGTCTCAAAACAAGAAAGGAAGCCCCAAACTCTGAAAGAACAAGCTGCAAATGGCTCTCCATCCTCCTGAATGCTGCAATTGCAGGTATGTGGCGCTATGGCTATACCTGGCTACTCCATCATCCTGGAAAGACAGTACCACTTTTCCAACTTTGCATGTTTCTGGAATTCAGAACTCTCTAGAAAGCTCCTAGAGGACTGCCAGAAATCCTCCCACCCCAGACTGG